AAAAAAGTAAAAAAAAGAGAAACACAAGCACCATAAACAATAAACTAATGAAACTGGTTACTCTAATGGTGGGTAATAGTGAGTAGAAATATGACACAGAAGCTAGAGGGAAAATGAGAACAGTCTGGATACATACTCTCATATACTAATACTAATGTTTTAATAGTGTTCTAAATGTTCAAAAAGTAATGTCAAGAAAGATGGGGGGGGGAAGCACAGAAACATGCCTATCTGTATCAAAGAGATACCATTACTACAGAACTTGGAAAATAAATTTCAAAATGATTTTTAAACACATTTTTTTTTACTATATATAGCCTCACTGAAATACATTTAAAGTAGATAACTGTAAATGTGTTTTGAACTTATATAAGTATAAATTTGTTGTTAGAATGTAGCAGATTGGACATTATTTTGTGTGCATTGGAGAACTGAGAAAATGAAGAAACACATTCATGTACCTACAATCAGTGTTCTTACTATGGGAGAAAGGAAATACAGAATTGAAATAGAGAAGAGGAAGAACTCTTGTACTAGACTGGAGTTAGAAGTGATCAGTTACTCATGAACAAACACACACACACACACAGAGCTTGGCTCTATCAAATGTAAGGGACTAGAAAAAATGGTACCAAATAGCAATGAGCACACCTGTTTCTTGTCTTCTTACTTTTCATCACTAGCAAACAATGGCTCTCAGGTGAAATTGAAGAATCCATGCCTAGGGCAAGAAAAACACAAAGTAAGGCTGGAGTATCTTTTGCCAGCAAGCTAGCAAGTGCTCAAAAATTCACGTCTCCCTCTCAAAAACTTATAACCTAGATCTAATCATGAAGAAAATATCAGAAAAACCCAACTAATGGACATTTTATAACACACCAATTCTCATCAAAACTGTTAGGATCATCAAAAAAGAAAGTCTGAAAAAACTGTTACATCTGCTGGTGCTGCTGCTGCTGCTAAGTCACTTCAGTCGTGTCCGACTCTGTGCGACCCCATAGACGGCAGCCCACCAGGCTCCACCGTCCCTGGGATTCTCCAGGCAAGAACACTGGAGTGGGTTGCCATTTCCTTCTCCAATGAAGGAAAGTGAAAAGTGAAAGTGAAGTCGTTCAGTCATGGCTGACTCTTCGTGACCCCTTGGACTGCAGCCTACCAGGCTCCTCCGTCCATGGGATTTTCCAGGCAAGAGTACTGGAGTGGGATGCCATTGCCTTCTCTGTGTTACATCTAGGAAAGCCTAAAAAACATGACAGTTAAATGTAATGTGGCATCATCCTAGAACACAAAAAGTACTCTAGGTAAAAACTATGAATAAATTGGAACAAGTCTTCAGTTAGTAATAATGTTGAATAGTGGTGTTAAATCCATCATACTATTATAAGATAGTAGGGGAAGCTATGTGGTGTATTAGAGCTTTGTACAAACTTACACATTTTTTTTGTAAATTAAAAGCTATTTTAGAATATAAAGTTTACTAAGGAAAAAAAAAACCTAGCTTATAGCTCATCCTCTTTCTCTAATACAGAAAACATAGGTGTAAAATGAAAAATGTATTAAAGAGCAGTACCATATACTTCATTGCATAATTGTTTTCTTCAGTGAGAGCTTATTTAAATAATTTACTATTTAACAGTCAAAGGTTTAAGATTTCATAATAAAGGAAAAAATGGCATTGTCAGAGGAAAGTATTTTACTGATACATTCTGCATATGTACAAGAATTGGATTTTACAGAATTATGCTTTCTGAAAACAATTTTATTGTGTATTATAATGATTGCTATATTATTTGTATCAAATCCTATCTCATTTGAATTTGTATATTTAAGTTCAAATCATGAATGCCAAAACACAGCTATTGAATATACTTACTGTATTTTTTTTTTACTAAATTAATTCCTGGACAATTTATTACTTATTTAAAATTTTTATTGTTTTCTACGTATTATTTTGGGGCTTCCCTGATAGCTCAGCTGGTAAAGATTCTGCCTGTCATGCAGGAGACTCTGGTTCTATTCCTGGGTCAGGAAGATCCCCTGGAGAAAGGATAGGTTACCCACTTCCGTATTCCTGGGCTTCTCTGGTGGCTCAGATTGTAAGTAATCTGCCTGCAATGCAGGAGACCTGGGTTGGATACCTGGGCTGGAAAGGTCCCCTGGAGAAGGTCATGACAACCCACTTCAGTATTCTTGCCTGGAGAATCCACATGGACAGAGGAGCTTAGTGGGCTACAGTCCATGGGGTCACAAAAAGTCGGACATGACTGAGCAACTAAGCACAGAACACCTATTATTTATTCTAATCATATAGCATATCTAAAACCAATGATAATATTCTCTGGCTTACCAAATTTAAAAGAAAATAATCTTAATGCTGATGTACATTTCTAGGTAACATTTTATAGTCAAAACTATCATATTTATTCACATAAAAATCAGAATTTTTAGTTACTTTTAAAATACGCAAGATTATTTAAAAATATGTAGTGCTTTTTTTCAAGTGTAGAAATTGCTCCATATGTATTAGAAAGACCTTAACTTCTTTTTCTTAATTTTAAAATTAAGAATATGGTCACTCCTATCAATGTTTAACAGAATGCAAATTGCTCAGTTGAAAAAAAGGTGAAAAAATCACATGGGGCGTGATAAAAGGCACAGGAACCATTTTAACATGGCTTCCATTGGCTAAATTTGTAACAACTTGAGCATTAAAATGAACAACAGGAACAACAGGTTACATATCTTGTTGAATAAAAAGAGAATCCATGAGTCCATCTTTACATTACTACTTCTAGTAGTAGTTCTGCCACTACCATTGCTAGTCCTACTACTAGAAGTATTTAGTAATACTTAAATGAAGGGAGTTGGGGGAAAAGGAAAAATTCTATGTTAGAGAAGAATACCAAGAGAGAAAGAAATATAAGAAAGAAATAATATTTTAAAATCAACATAGTAATAACTGATTCATGCAATATTAATCAAAGTATTCCTAAGCCATTTTTAAAAAAATTTTGTTTGGAATATGATGTTGTCAGCCTCAAAGGTCTCAAAACTTTTTATTTGCTTGTTTTTGTTATATATGAAGAGAAGTTTTTCTTTTATATCACTTAATCAAGTTATCAAACTCATCACCAATAACTGAAAAAACTGACATCATGTGTCACATGAAATAATGCTATAAACGCAACAAAATATCACCTTATACAATATTTCTGTATTTAACTTGATTTCATTCATGAAGATAATCAGACAAAATTAAAGAGCATTTGCAAGACAGCTGGCTTGGATAACCTAGAATGTCAACCTCATGTAAGACAAAAATCACAAGTCAACAAATGTGACTGGTACATGAGTACTCATTATATCTCTTGTGACTCTTCTGTGGAGTAAAATTTTTCCATTGGAAAATATACATTAAAGAAAGGCAGTGTAAAAGAATGTTCAAACTACTGTACAGTTGTGCTTACTTCACATGCTAGAAAGGTAATGCTTAAAGTTCTTCAAGCTAGACTTCAACATTTCGTGAACTAAGAAATTCCAGGCGTAGGAGCTGGGTTTAGAAAAAATGAGGAACTAGAGATCAGATTGCAAATGTCTGTTGGATCACAGAGAAAGTAATGGAATTCCAAAAAAAACAAAAATTTGCTTCATTGACTATACTAGAGCCTTTGACCATGTGGATCACAACAAACGTGGAAAATCCTTAAAGAGATGGGAATACCAGACCACCTTTCCTACCTCCAGAGAAACCTGTAAGCAGGTCAAGAAGCAACAGTTAGAACTGGACATAGAACAATGGACTGGTTCAAAATTGGGAAAGGAGTACATCAAGGCTACATGTTGTCACCTTGCTTATTTGACTTATGTGTAGAGTACAACATGTGGAATGCTGGGCTGGATGACTTACAAGCTGGAATCAAGATTGTCAGGAGAAATATCAACAACCTCAGATAGACAGATAATACCACTCTAATGGCAGAAAGGAAAGAGGAACTAAAGAGCCTCTTGATGTGGGTGAAAGAGGAGAGTGAAAAAGTTGGCTTAAAACTCACATACAGAAAACTAAGATCATAGCATCTGGTCCCATCACTTCATGGCAAATAGATGCAAAGAAAGTGGAAACAGTGACAGATTTTATTTTCTTGGGCTCCAAAATCACTGCAGATGGTGACTGCAGCCATTAAATTAAAAGATACTTGCTTGCTCCTTGGAAGAAAAGCCACAACAAACCTAGACAGCATATTAAGAAGCAGAGATATCACTTTGCTGACAAAGATCTCTCTAGTCAAAGTTATGGCTATTCCAGTAGTCATGTACAGATGTGAGAAAAAAGGCTAAGTGGCCAAGAATTGATGCTTTTGAACTGTGGTGTTGGATAAGACTCTTGAGAGTCCCTTAGACAGCAAGGAGATCAAACCAGTCAATTCTAAAGGAAATCAACCCTGAATATTCATTGGATGGACTGATACTGAAGCTGAAACTCCCAACACTGGCCACATGATGGAAAGAACCTACTCATTGGAAAAGACCCTGATGCTGGAAAAGATTGAGAGCAGGAGGAGAAGGGGGCAACAGAGGATGAGATGGTTGGATGACATCGCTGACTCAATGGACACGAGTTTGAGCAAACTCCGGGAGATAGTGAAGGACAGAGAACCCCGGTGTGCTGTAGTTCATGGGGTTGCAAAGAGTTGGTCACGACTGAGCGAATAAGCAGCACAAAGTTTTTCTTTCTTTGATGTCCCTAAGAGGCACTTATTTAATTTTTCTTTGGATTTTTTTTTTTAATTTGTAATTTGATGTACAAACTTTCATTTTAATGAAGAAGAAATCTGGCTAAAAAAATATTTTATTAGAGATAGTTAAGTCCCTTTGCTTTGCACATATTTTAGTGTGTTGCTTTCATTTTTATGTTGATTTTCATGAATTCATATGTTTGTAAAAATGTCTTTATTATATACTCCCTAGTATTCATTAGTTTTCATATATTTTATGTTTAGATTGTTATCGTGGGAATGGCAAAAATTATATGGGCAGTTTATCCAAAACACGATCTGGACTAACATGTTCTATGTGGGATAAGAACATGGAAGATTTACACCGGTATGTAAATTTATTTCTTTAAATATATAGTATGTAGTGATAGCAGCAGATAGATGTATGGAGATACATTGGCATTTCTTTCTATTCATTTATATATCTTTAACTTTCTTTAGTTTTCTCAGAGACATTTCTAGTCTTTCCCATTGTATTGTTTTTTCTCTATTTATTTGCATTGTGCACTTGAGAAGAATTTCTTGTCTCTCCTTGCTATTCTTTGGAACTCTGCATTCAGATGGGTATATCTTTCCTTTTCTCTTTTGCCTTCCATTTCTCTTCTTTTCTCAGCTATTTGTTAAGGTCTCCTCAGACAACCATTTTATTTTGTTACATTTCTTTTTCTTGGGGGTGGATTTGGTCACCACCTCCTGTTACAAACCTCCATCCAAAGATCTAATCTTTTTAATTTATTTGTTACTTCCACTATATAATCAATCATAAGGAATTTGATTTGTTATTTCCAAATGGCCTAGTGATTTTCCCTACTTTCTTCAATTCAAGTCTGAATTTTCCAATAAGGAGCTCAGGATCTGAGCCACAGTTGGCTCCCAGACTTGTTTTTAGACTGTATAGAGCGTCTCCATCTTTGGCTGCAAAGGATGTAATTAATCTGATTTTAAATAATAGGTTTATATTATCCAGCATTTCTAAAGCTTTTCATTTCAATATGTATTCAATATAAAATCATTAATGAGATATTTTACATTTTATATTAAAGCTTCAAAATTTGGTGTGTATTTTTAATTACAGCACCTTTCAATTTGGAGAGGTCACGTACTACTTTGTCTGTAACCACATTTGGCTAGTAGTTACTCTATTGGATATTGCAGTTCTAGGACTTTAAAATTAAGTAGAATTCTGCCCTCATGGAGCTTACGCTCTAGTATGGAATGGCTGAAAACAGCAATGCGATGCCATATTTTAAAAAATCCATTGTTGTTGTTATTCAGTCACTCAGTCCTGTCTGACTTTTTGTGACCCCATGGACTGCAGCATGCTAGGCTTCCCTGTCTATCACCAACTCCCAAAGCATGCTCAAACTCATGTCCATCAAGTCAGTGATGCCATCCAACCATCTCATCCTCCATTGTCCCCTTCTCCTCCTGCCTTCAATCTTTCCCAGCATCAGGGTCTCTTCCAATGAGTCAGTTCTTCATATCAGGTGGCTAAAGTATTGGAGCTTCAGCTTCAGCATCAGTCCTTCCAATGAATATTCAGGACTGATTTCCTTTAGGACGGACTGGTTGGATCTCCTTGCAGTCCAAGGGACTCTCAAGAGTCTTCTCCAACACCACAGTTCAAAAGCATCAATTTTTCGGTGCTCAGCTTTCTTCACAGTCCAACTCTCATATCCATACATGACCACTGGAAAACCATAGCTTTGACTAGATGGACCTTTGTTGGCAAAGTGATGTCTCTGCTTTCTAATATGCTGTCTAGGTTTGTCATGGCTTTTCTTCCAAGGAGCAAGCAAGCATCTTTTAATTTCATGGCTGCAGTCACCATCTGCAGTGATTTTGGAGCCCAAGAAAATGAAGTCTGTCACCGTTTCCATTGTTTCCCCATCTATTTGCCATGAAGTGATGGGACTGGTTGCCATGATCTTAGTTTTCTGTATGTGAGTTTTAAGCCAGCTTTTTCACTCTCCTCTTTCACTTTCTTCAAGAGGCTCTTTAGTTCCTCTTCACTCTCTGCCATAATGGTGGTGTCATGTGCATATCTGAGGTTATTGATATTTCTCCTGGCATTCTTGATTCCAGCTTGTGCTCCATTCAGCCCGGCATTTCACATGATGTATTCTGCATATAAGTTAAATAAGCAGGGTAACAGTATACAACCTTCATGTACTCCTTTCCCAATTTGGAACTAGTCTGTTGTTCCATGTCTGGTTCTAGCTGTTGCTTCTTGACCTACATACAGGTTTCTCAGGAGGAGGGTAAGGTGGTTTGGTATTCCCATCTCTTTAAGAATTTTCCATGAAAACACCACATTTTATGTTATGGGACCGCAAAGAAGCCAGCCAGACTTAGATGGTTAGGAAGCTTTCCTAGTGGAAGGGACATTAGCAGGATATACATAATTGGTAGAAGTTGGTCAAAGAAATGTAGGAGGAAAAATATATCAGGCAGAAGAAACAACTTGTCCAAAAGCCTTTAAATTGAACTGTTTGAAAATCGGAAATATTTTTATTAACCATAAGGTTTAAGCAGTTTCATTTGGTCAGTGGGCACAGAGAAGAAATTCTCTAGTGGGAAAGCCATACAGGCCCTTTAACCTCTGTTAAGGAGTTTGGGTTTTATCCTAAGCCCATATGGGTCCATTAAGAATTTTAAGCAAGAATTTGCATGGCCAAGATTAATGCTTATTTTAACACTGGTAGTTTTAAAATCATTTCGAGAAATATGATGGGGGTTGTGTGAGCTCTTTATCTGTTTGTAAGAAATAACTGTAACCAACTCTGCCTTCAGTTGCCAGCATTAGATGCTTGACAGTTTTATGGTAGAAGTAGTTATGCTACAGAAATTTGCAAGGACAGCAAATAAAGACTCCCTCCATACACAGTTCAAAGTGCCAGTTGCTAAATATTTACCAACATACCACTGGAAATTTATGACATATTTATTCAGGAACTGCAATGATTATAACTTTAAATTCACTTTGTTTTGATTTGCCTTTGGGAATAGTTAAAAGTCATTTGGAAAGAACTTGTAGGCTATTGATGAATGAGTAAGTTGCATGGTACCATTTTGGTTTAAGAACAAATCTGTGACTGAGTGAAGAGGTAATGCGATATGATGATTTTGAACAAAGACTCTAGAAAATGCTACGTGTTCAAACACCTGATCTACAGCTGAAAAAATATGTGACCCTAGACAAATTAATTATTCTCTGTGGATTTCAATGTCTTCAAATACAAAGTTGCATAATCTTAGAGCCTGTCTCATCAGGTTGGTCTAAGTAAGTATGCAAGTCTACACAGTAGACTCTGTTACATGCATGTCTTTCCTGTTTTATTGGTCCAAAAAGTGAAGCTGAGTTTGGAAAGACAGTCCAAGTTTCTATGTTGAAGTTCTTCCCAAATTTAAAAAATGACACATTAATTAAATTCAAGCATGATGGTAATTAATGTTGATGTTATATGAGTGGGCAGGCTTCCCTGTTGGCTCAAATGGTAAAGAATCCACCAGCAGTGTGGGAGACCTGGGTTGAATCCCTAGGTTGGGAAGATCCCCTGGAGGACGGGATGGCAACCCACTCCAGTATTCTTGCCTGGAGAATCCCATGAACAGAGGAGCCTGGTGGGCTGCAGTCTGTGGAGTCACAGAGAGTCCGGCATGACTGAGAGACTAAGCCAGAACACATATGAGTGAGCATGGTCTAATAAAATAATATACAGCATTTTTTGCTTTTCGTTTGTACTAAATTTAGTTAAGATGTAAAATGAGATAGCCTGAAATGTTACTCAGTTATCTTTCAAAACTATATCTTAAATGATCAGTGAAATTTTCAAATTTAATAAGTTTATTAGCACATCATGTGTTCAGTGTATCTTCCTGTACGTTGTCATAGCAGTGTTGCTAGTGAAGCTTGTTTACATGTTTCTGAAACATGAAAAAATAAATATTTTTGCAATAGCTTGTATTTTTATACATTTTATAACTTAGATCTTTATCATCTGCTGCTTTCTTGCATGGTGCATTGTTACCTTCCCGGTATAATTATTTAATAGAAACAATGTAATAAAATTTTTTATCTTTTTATCTATGCTGATTATTCAGCCTTATTCCTCAGTTAAAGAACATGCTTCCAAACTGCAAGAACAACAACAAAGTCTCAAAAAATCAAAAAGAAAAATTCACAGCAGGTACTTTATGCTGTGCCTGTAATGAAAATTATGTGCTAGGGTTGTATCTTCTTGTTTTGTTTCTCTTGGACAAGATGTGTGCTTCTTGTGATGTTCTGAGTTTGCTGTTTATGCAGGCATATCTTCTGGGAACCAGATGCTAGTAAGCTGAATAAGAATTACTGTCGGAATCCTGATGACGATGCCCACGGTCCCTGGTGTTACACAGGGAATCCTCTCATTCCTTGGGATTATTGCCCTATTTCTCGTTGTAAGTACATTTTGTGATCTTTTTCAGGCGAATTATTTTAAATATACTGCATGCCCTAAAATGATAATTCAATTGGAGGTGGAAATAATACAGGAGGGCTAGAGTTGATCCCAAAATAAGGATGCACTCCAGACAGCAATGCATATACACACAATTTCATCTCTCCTCTAGACAAAGAGACATTTTGCTGACCTTTTAAAAGAGATTTTTCCTCCCTCAGAAGATTTCTATTTGGAATTCAGAAGCAATACATGGCCATGGTTCTGACTGGGCTAGAAAGACTGCCTTGCCCCACCATCAATAAACTTGATATTAGCAATATATATGATTCGGGAGGGCTTCCCTCATAGCTCAGTTGGTAAAGAATCTGCCTGCAGTGCAGGAGACCCCGGTTCAATTCCTGGGTCAGGAAGATCCACTGGAGAAGGGATGGGCTACCCCTTTCAGTCTTCTTGGGGCTTTCCTGATAGCTCAGTTGGTAAAGAATCTGCCTGCAATGCAGGAGACCCCGGTTCAATTCCTGGGTTGGATACATCTGCTGGAGAAGTGAAAAAGCACTCCAGTGTTCTGGCCTGGGTCGCAAAGAGTTGGACAGGATTGAGCGACTTTCACTTTTGGGGTTTCCGTATTAGCCCAGATGGTAAAGAGTCTGCCTGCAATTCAGGAGACCCTGGTTCGATCCCGGGGTCAGGAAGATCCCTGGAGAAGGAAATGGCAACCCACTCCAGTATTCTTGTCTGGAAAATCCCATGGACGGAGGCCCCTGGTGGGTTACACCCCATGGGGTCACAAAGAGTCAGACATGACTAAGCAACTAACACACACACAGGCTCTAGAGCACAAGCTCAATAGTTGTGGCACACAGGCCTAGTTGCTCCTTGGCACGTGGGATCTTCCCAGATCAGGGATTGAACCTGTGTCTCCTGCACTGGCGGACAGGTGCTTTACCACTGAGCCACCAGGGAAGCCCTAATTTAAAAATTTTTAAAACATATGTTCAACTAACATTTTTAAACTAAAAATTAGTAATGTGGTATTGAAAGACTTGGCGGCGTTACTAGTATTTGATTAAATGCTATTGCAGATAACATTTAGTTCAATGCATTCTGAACATTAATTTCAGCAAATATTTTGTTGTCATTTTTCTAACTATATTTATAACCAGGATTTATTTACATTTTATCACTAGTGAAAGGCTAAAAATATTTATCTTCAGAAGATTTGAGTTCTTATCTATTTAACTTCAGAGATTGTATATATCATTTTCACACTGTACATTTGCATTACAAAATATGCAAAGGTTTGTATTTCTTTTTTTTTGTATTCCTTTAAAAAAAATATTTACAAAATTGAAAGTATGGTATTGGGTGATGTGAAGAAAGCCCTGTTTTAAGATTATCAAGATGCAAAAGTAAAACAGTAGAAATGTCTATATTTGTCTATACATGTACACACACTATATCTTAGTATTAAATAGATATATATCTACTTATATAGTAACTAAGTATTAATTAGATATATATTTAAGTATCTGAGTATTAAGAGAATACAGTGGTTTAGAGTTGCAACTTTGACTTCCTAGGTAAAAATTGTAGTTCTAACACTTTTAAGTGCCTTGGGCAAATTGCTTCCACTTCAGTTTGCATTTACTTATTCATTTATTAATAATTTTAAATTGACCTGTTACTGTGTGCAAAGCCCTATATAACATTCTAGGTATAGAAAATATAAACAGTGTCTCCTGTACTCAAATAATTTTCAGTGTAGAGAGGATAAAGCTACATACCTAATCACAAATACAGTCATTTAAATACATACATATTAATATTAAAATATGTAATGAATTGGGAATACAAATGTCAGCCTGGAAAATATGCATCGTTCATAACGTTTTGAATTTGAGTTGAAACTTTAAGGATCTATTAAAAGAAAGTTTTCTTTATGCTTTCACTAAGAGCCCATGTTTGTTCTGAGGCCATATATCAACACGTAGACACAGACATCTCTACTGTTCCACAGGAAAAGCTTTTGTCATTGACAAGCTTTTCTTCTTCAAAGCTAAGTTGAGTCAATATAAACAAGATTTGTATCATATACAGTTGTTCAGATTTGAGTACTATGGTAGAGATATGAAGGAAAAGTAAAAGAGAAGTGAAAATAGTATTTTAAGGGAAAAGGGAAAAGGCCTTGAAAGCTGAAGAAACTAGAATGCTTTTTAAAAATTTGTAATCCAACAAACTACCCAGAATATTTAGAAATCTGACTTTGAGTGGTATTATAGCTTCTCTAAATATTGGCTTACAGAAAAAAATAAATAAATATAATTATAAATAATATATTAGGGTTATAAATTATAAATAAATATAATTATTAAAGCCTCTAAATTATAATATCTAAATATTTTAAAACAAATTAAGTATTTCAGTGAGGCACAATAACAAACTGAATACTTTGCAGAACTATTAACTGGATGTTTAGAAATAGGAAACTTGATATGCAATTAACAATACAGTGAATATGCAATCAATCATAGTGCCTCAAAAATTCTTAATTTAAGAGATTAAACTCTTTTGTTTTAAGAACTATAGTTTTCTTTTTTGTTTTTTTAGTGCCCTTTAGGCTCTATCCCAAATGTTATCTTATTAAACATTTATTTAAAAAAAGAATACAATGAACCGTAGTCTTTTCTCACCACAACAATATAAGAAATAAATCGCTTTTCAGATTGGAATTTTTAGAAATCAAGTGGAAAAACCAATATCCTTGATGTTTTAATGACCACATTTATACTAAGAAATAAAACAATTCCCTCAGCTGACAAGACAAAACTCTCCCTCGGGATAAACTAAAAGGAAAGGGAAATGATGAAATCTATATTTCACCTTTATGCTCATTCACTTAAAATATCTAGATCTGGAAAATGAACATAAATAAAAATCCTTTGGCATGTGTTAATTTTCTCAAAATTCCCCATAAATGAAAATCAAGTTTGCATATATTACAAAGGAATCCATATGCCATTTTTGTTTCGTTGCTGGTTTACTTGAGCTCAGGGCACTTCTAGGGACTAACAACCAGCTGGGTCTAAACAATGTCTGACTAAACTCTATGTCATCAATTCTAAACAGTCACACATTAAAATCCAGGAAATGTCTTGGGCCTCATTCATTGCTACTGAAGTATTTTTAAATTCTAGAATCTTCCAAGCTAATCTCTTTGCAGCAGTTAAATCCCACTCAGTAGAGAGGTTATAAAAAAGAATTAAGCATGAAGTGTTAGCCATAATTTATTTGCAGTTTCCAGAATTCTTTTTTTTACACCTTTCCCTTTACTACCTAGAAAAACCAATCTTTGAAATATTCTGACAAAACATAATTATATTTTGTTATCCCTCTTTTTCCAAGAGTGAGGTTGATTTCTATATTTTCAAATTATTTAAAAAAATTTTCTGAAACATAGGGGAAGATTCAATTATCCTTAATCATATAAAAGATAAAAGTAATTTTCAGCAAAAATGTAAATGGGCCAGAATTGCAGTAAAGCTCTGTAGTTCATATGAATGGCCCAACCAAGCAATAATAAGAGTGGCATGTTCATCGTGTACAATCTTTGGCATGTTGGGAGAATGAGGCAGCTCCTCAGTGCCAGCAGTAAAATTCAGACTGCCAACATCATCAAACATCATTCAAAAGTCATAAAACAGGGCTTTCTTCACATCACCACTACCATACTTTCACCTCTGTCTAGTAAAAGTGATACAGAATTATTCAAAAGGGTACTATTACATTATATTTTTGAAGAAAATGTAAAGAATTGTCTTAAATTATCAACTCATGGATATTTGGGTTTCAATACAAAATGATGTACTATTGAACAGTACATTTTATTTTTATATAACAGAAATATTTATGCATGAATTATGTATATATGTATATTTGTTTTTACAGGTGAGGGTGATACCACACCTACAATAGTCAATTTAGACCGTAAGTAATCCTTCAAAAAAATTTATTATATCTTAGTATCTATGTGTCATAAATGATGTCATTATTTACTTCATAAAAATATCATTATATAAACTTCCATCATAAAAATAAAATGTTTTATTTGAACACTTTTTCCTGTGTGAATGTATAAAGGTATTACAAAGACAACTGCATGCTAAATATCAAAATTCCTTGCTCTGTCAGAAATGTTACATTAAACTTTGAAAAAGCATGTATAGTACTTTTAATTAGGGGTAGAATATATCCAGTGGACCTTCACCATCCTTTAAATTAAATCAGGATGCCAAAGTTAGAATGAAACCAGAAGGTTGGAAAGTTATGCACTGTCTTTATCCTGCTCTGTCTTTAAAGCTCTTTGCATTTTCTATGAAGCAAAAGATGACACAGTGTGAAAGGTTTAGTTAATCCTCAGTTTAGGAAAATCTAGACTGCATTTAGGAGCTGCTTGTATCTGACTTTCACACATTTCTTGGACTGAAGGAAGTTACTCAAATGGTTTGGTTTGAGAGACCACCTGCTGTGTCCCAGGCTGAAGAAGCAAATGGAAATCTATTTTAGACCATGGACAAGAGTGGATAGGATAAAGCAAGGAACACTGACGAGGGTCAGGAAAAAGTTTACTTCAAAGAGTCTGTGTTATATCATTTGGATATAATGATTTAAACATAATTATGTCATTTGGATAAAATTTCAATTAAGATCACTTTGGTTAACACGTTGCAAAACAGTTCTACATTCTTACTCTACAAATTCAGAAGTAATAAACCAAATACATGTATTTTTCCCCCCACAGAGGCTTTCCATTGATATTTAGAAAAAAAGAACTGTAAATAGCATCATTCTGTTGTGTTGAGGTTGGCCAGGAAAACACAATCGCTGTTAGACCTGCAGAACTTGCACAAAGAGAGCAGAGTCCGTGTCACTGTGATGTCAATTCTGCTGACCTTGAGCTGACTACTTTTGCTTTGTTATCTATTTAGATGAGGATAGCAAATATTTTGGGTCTGATTTGGCACTGTAGTCACACTATTTACCTTTTATTTTTTCCAAAATGGTCTTCTGACACAATTACAGTAGTTACATTTGTGAAGTTACTATCAAATGCTTAAGAAAGCCAAGAGGCACAGGTTATTTCAAAATGTTTTGTCAAAATGTTGTCTTTGGTCCTCTTTTTAGATCCTGTAATATCTTGCGCCAAAACAAAACAATTGCGAGTTGTAAATGGAATTCCAACACGAACAAATGTAGGATGGATGGTTAGTTTGAAATACAGGTAATTATTAATAGACACAAGTCATACATATTTGGATTATTTGCAGATAGTTATATTCCCAGCAGTATGGCCATGTGCAGTCATGAAGGTTGTGCCCTACACAAGGCACCCATATGAGGGGGACACAAGGGGGACTAATCACATTTTGCTTGCCAAACCTCCCTGGATTTTTCAGTTTGTGCCTCCAGAGACAGTGCTGTTTTAAATGTTTATAAAGGTCCCATATGTGTTGGCATTGTCCCTGATGTGACATTTTAGTTCTTGTTAAGCAAAAGACAACTACACAGGAACCTACTTATACCTTGATATAACCATGGTAGTTGTAATACTTATGTTAGTTTTCCAATTAAGGATATTATGAGATTATTTTCTAACATGTTTATGCACAATCATAGCAAAACATTTATATTTGATTTTAATGTCTGACTTTTTCATTGTCATTCTAATGAAAAATGGCAATAATTTAAAATTCTAGAATATTTTATCATTAAGAAAAACATAAATTATACTGATAGTTGAACAGTCTTAAAATTATAATATTTGATATGATAAAACATGTCTATTGCTTAGTGTAAAAATCAATGCAATGTTCTATGTAAAATAGTTTTTCAAAATAGACTATTATACAAAATTAAGATTATTTATTATAAGAAGTAAATACTGAAAATAGGAGCTAGCTTTAAAACCTGATCTTAGAACTTTCTATATACTACACATATTATACTGTATGGTAATCAGAATGTTAAAAATTTTTTTTTTTCTATATCTATCTCTATTGGAATGTCATCATGCAACATACCCCAAAGTGCACCTGAATTCTAGCCGCATTTTCCCTTGTTTTCAAGACACTCTATGTTTCTCCCCCTGGCCTTTGTGCTGTTGGAGCTTTCTTCCTCCATATTTTATGCCTACAAAATTTTTATTCTTTAAATACAAACTGGAATATCTCCTTTTTTTTCTAAACCTTCCCTGTTCCTTTAACTCTAGCCTCCTAGAATTTAGGAATAAAATTCATTTTTACTATAATTAAATCACAGTGACATTAAAGTAGAAAAGACAACTTGAAACTGGTTATTTTTCTTTCAATGAATAAGTCAATTCTTAATAAGCATGAAGTTTATATTCTTTAGACACCAAGTAGAAAATGACCTAGAGTTCTCTTAGTGTGTCTTTCTTTCAAGGAGTAACTCATCAATTTTTATAAATCTTTATGCTGATAATTGTAGGGTAGTAAGTAAAATAGAATTATGAAACTCACCAGAATATTAAAGTTATACATGCAATGTGAAGACATAATGAAGGTTGTAAAATTTGAGGGTGGTAATTTCTTTACTATAGAAAAATTTCCAATAATCTACATCTTTGAGCTAATTAGAGGATCTCTGCAAATCTCATTACTCCAGAAGAAAAGGCAAATACTTTTGAATTTATTCTTACTCATAGGAGACTTCCTTTTGAAGTCGGCATCTTTGGAGAAGTAGGTGAAACTGTTTTTCACCAGATCAGTGTAGTATAAACTTTTTTAAAAAAGTACTCTTTTCCTTTTAAATCCAAGTTCTTAGTAACAACAGCTGTTTATCTATTCTTCCAAAACTCATAGAGAGGAATAGAAACTAAAACTTTCTATATATTCTTATCCTCCTTTGTGGTATAGGCCGTAAATAAATGTGGTCTTAGTCTGGGAATCTTATTCTGTTACTCTCTGAAGCACTGAACATCTGTACTCTTTGGAAATGTAAATTGTGAGTAGTTGTACTTTTTCCCATGTGTTTGCCAAAAAAGAATACATTTACAGACTTTGGATATCATCAAATAAATATTGTATTTATTATTCTTTAAAAATAATAATTTCCTAGATGATATAACTTGAAAAACTTTTAATTTGATAAGTAAAATGTCATATTGTTGATATTAAGCTGGACAAACAGATTTACTCAGTTATATCCTAAGTTAACATATCAGAACTAAATAATGGTAATGAAAGAAGCAAATAGTGCATAAATATTATAACGTTACCACAAGATGGTTTTCAGAATTGAAATAAAAACTCAAATTTGTCATTTTCATAATCAAAAACTGAATTTAAAATAGGTCTAATAATCCTATATTTATAGCACATACTTTCTCTTATAAGGATAAACTACACACATGTGAACATGTGCTTGGGAATGGATCAATAAAATTGATTATGTAAAATTATAATCACATTATGAAAAAGAACATCATCAAGTATCATCCTTCTGATAAAAAAAATACTCATTTTATTCTATTTAGATTAATATCTACGTTTTCCTCTCAATGTGTTTATACTTAACAAATGGAGCCATAGGTTTTGCATTAATTGGCAAGCACTCTTTCTGTGCAGATGTTACTTGTTTTTCTTTCCTCTTTCTTTTAGAAATAAACATATCTGCGGAGGATCATTGATAAAGGAAAGTTGGATTCTTACTGCAAGACAGTGTTTCCCTTCTCGGTAAAGTGAAACCAATATTTGTTTTAAGCATTTAAAAATATGTATGGCTTCCCTCTAGATTCCCCCTAGAATGTATATTCATTTAACAGATATTCACCAGCGTAGGGTGAACAAATTAATTTATTTTCATTTTAGATTTAGCTTATGAAACTGACTTAATTAATACTTACTTATGAGTACTACTTCTGTCTACCTCTTTCCACGATTAGCACTATTCTCATTTGGGAGAAAATTTTGCTAGAATTATGTTAATAATTTTTACCCTAACCTCCTTCTTGAATTCTATATTTCTAGATAGAAATTCTTTTTCTGAATTAGCAACAAACTTCTTTCAGTCCTCACTTCTTTCTTATGTAGAGCCAGCCTCAGAAAAATACTGAGAATGATTTTCAGAGTAAACTAGCCTAAGGAAAAGATAAGGAGATAGCATTTGTTAGCTTACTTCTTAATTCTCATCAAGATTATACTGATTTTATTAGTATAAATCTTCAATCCTTATTAATAAGCCAAACATATACACCTTTGAGATAAAAAGGAAAACTTGCAATAAATTATAATTCTTGTAATATGCTTTACCTGAGAACTTTTCATAAATGACCTACTCTCTAGCAAGAATAAGCAAGTTGAAAAAATAGCCGTTTAGAATTTCAGCAATTTAAAGGCTCTTCCTGATTTTAGTATTCAGAACCTTCCAATAACAAAATGTGTTGCTCTTTATTATACTTTGAACTTTAAATCTAGGTTATTTATCTGCCCTTGTAAGCTAATATAACAATACATGTAAATAATATTACATAATTTAAAGTTATATTTTATATTTTAATTTTCTACATAGAAACAAAGACTTGAAAGATTATGAAGCTTGGCTTGGAATTCATGATGTCCATGGGAGAGGAGATGAGAAACGCAAACAGGTTCTAAATGTTACCCAACTGGTATATGGGCCTGAAGGATCAGATTTGGTATTACTGAAGCTTGCTAGGTTAGTTCATTTAGATAGTTTCATATTTTTAACGTACACTGGAATGGTTGAAACTTCTTCTTCAACTATGTGGTTATTCTTTCTCTTTCATGTAAATATATTATAAAGCATATGTCACATGTCATATGTGTGTGTATGTGTGTATATGCATTCAGAGGCAAAGAGAGGGGCATTTTCAAATTGTTCATATGTGAATAAATGAAATTGGGTCAACAATATGGTTAGCCTGCTCTAAAACCAAAGCTTAGTGAGCAATTATATGATAACTTTAACAGGTAAAATAATGATTTAAAAATAGTAATGATCATTTATTCTTAAATATTTTCAAATAAATATTCATTTCTCTACTACCTACTTGAAGCAAATTTGTTTATTCTCTCTAAATGAAGCACATTAAACTTTCACACTGCATTTTAATATATTTATTTTGTACTGAATCCAATCAAAGGTACTTACCATTATATTTTCTCTTTTCAGGCCTGCTATTTTGGATGATTTTGTTAGTACAATTGATTTACCTAATTATGGGTGCACAATTCCTGAAAAAACCACTTGCAGTGTTTATGGCTGGGGCTACACTGGATGTAAGCTATTTTTAAAAAGATAAGGCAATATCATATTTATTTTACAAAAATATTTTGTAATTGTTTTTCACTTCACCCTGTGCTCCTTAACCATACATATTTTGCACCATTCCAGTGATCAACTCAGATGGTCTACTACGAGTAGCACATCTCTATATTATGGGGAATGAGAAATGCAGCCAATATCATCAAGGGAAGGTGACTCTGAATGAGTCTGAAATATGTGCTGGGGCTGAAAATATTGTATCAGGACCATGTGAGGTAAAAAAAGGGGGGGTTTTAAATAAGTAGCATGTGATAGATAACATAGTTGTTCCTGTTTATAATTTTTTTCTATTTGTTTCAAATAAGAATCATTGTACATCAGCCTGTTGTAAGAGAGAGGAATTGGAAAATATAATCCTTATTATTCTTGTATATCTCTTTTAGCTAAACAGTGAAGAGTCCATGTTTCATTAGCAGCAAACTAAGATGACATTTCTCTCTCAAATAGCAAGAAATTAATACAGCCAAAACTCTAAGAGAAAGCTGTTCAAATTAGAAGTAGCCAACATGCAGTTTGATAGCATAGCTTGCATTTTTTTCTAATGTTTTTCTAAATGTATCCAGTCTTCCCAAATTCTAACTTAACTCTATTAATTTTAGTAAGAGATCCATGCCTGGTTTTAAACCTTTAAATGTGTTTTCAGTTAAGCCAGTGTGTGTGTGTGTGTGTGTGTGTGTGCTTCTATTTTAAAAAACCAGAAGGTCAAAGTTTGTGACTTTAAGATTTTGGACATTTTCATTTCTTAGGCAACTGTTCCTTCTACTTGGCAGTGTTCCTATCCCTATTTAACATAAACAAGCTGTTAAACTGCTATTTTAGATGTATTTTGAATGCAAGAGACAAGTTTTCCAACCCTGAGAACTCTGGAATTATAGAATACTATGTATAGTAAAATATGGAATGAGTTCAGTAATAGTGAAATATCTTTTGACTTTTAGGAAAATGTCCTATGTATGAAGCATAAATTTGTATTGAAGTGCGTATGTTATGTATATATTGCTTTGAGATTTCATCTTTGAAAAGAAAATAAAATATTTTTAAGTTAAAAAAAGTTAATTGCTTTAAAATAATATGATTTGAAACTGATTATGTGTTTATAACCACTTTGGAATTTGGTGGTTTTTGTTCTAATAAATCTAACATCACTAAGTCTATTATAACAAATGAAAATTTACTAGGCATATTTTTTATCTATTTATTTATTTCCCAAAGAGCTCTGTAAATACAAAAATGTTGAGCTAGACCAAGTCTTTGAGATAGTTAGGAAGTTTACACTTATTCAAGTCTTACTGCCATTATTACTTTGACAACTGCTCTTCTGCATAGCCTGTAATCTGGTTTATCATCTATGTCCTCTTAGATTCCTAACTTTAGCACTGAAAAACTTATTATCACGTATTTGCTATTTTTTATCTATTTACTTCAAATTGATTCAGCCATTTCTTAAAAATGCTTGATTTTTTTTACATCACTGTTATTTGAAATAATAATCACCAAACCACTAAAATCTAGATGCTTGAAAAAGAAATCTCTTAAACATTTGTATGATATCAATAGCATCACATTTAGTGAAAGTCTCTAAAAATTTAATTGACTTGAACAATTTGTATCAGTGAACACTGGTGCATTAATTTAAAAACCAGATTAATTCATCTGGCAGAGTTTATATCGTCTTTTTTTTAAAAAATCATTGGAATATAGTTGCTTTGTAATGTTGTGTTAATTTCTGCTGTACATCAGTGTCAACCCATTATATGTATGCATATATTCCCTTTTTATTTTTAATTAAAAAATTAACCCCTACTCTTTTTTGAATACCTAGTTTCTAATCATTTGCTACTATTAGCAGAGCTATCCCTGATGAATCAGATGGTAAAGAATCCGCCTGCGTTTAAGGAGACCTGGGTTCGATCCCTGCGTTGGGAAGATTCCCTGGAGGAGGGCATGGCAACCCTCTCCAGTATTCTTGCCTGGAGAATCCCCATGGACAGAGGAGCCTGGTGGGCTACACTCCTTGGGGTTGCAAAGAGTCAGAGACGACTAAGCGACTAAGCACACAGCATAACTGATATGCCTATAGAGAAATCTTTTTGCATGTGTCTGGACCATAAGTTCTTTAGGATAGATTCTTAACATGGAATGACTTAACATTAGAGCAAGTTTAGATAATTTACATATTCTGTCAAATCGCCCTCAAAAGTTTATATCAGTTATTCTTCCAGAAACACTATATGAAAAAGAAATCCCCTTTTCCCATTGCTAAGACTCAGTATTGTCAATTTTTAATATTTTGGTACAGATGAAGAAGTGAAAGTACTAGTCACTCAGTTGTGTCTGACTCTACGACCCCATGGACTGTAGCCCTCTGTCTATGGAATTCTCCAGGCAAGAATACTGGAGTGGGTAGCCATTTCCTCTCCAGGGGATCTTCCTGGTCCAGGGATCAAACCCAGGACTCCTGCATCGTAGGCGGATTCCTTACTGTCTGAGCCACCAGGGAAGCCAGTTCAAAATTTATCTCAGTTTTGTTTGATCAGATTTTATTGTTCACACATTTAAGCATCTGTTCCTATTTTCAACGTACTTTTAAATTACTTTCTCATTCATTTGCCAGTTTATCCGTTAAGTCATTTGTCTTTTTCAAGTTGATTTGTAGTAGTTTCAAATGTTCTTTCAATCTGTGGCTTTATTTGAACTTTGTTTATGATGAATTTTGGCATTCAGAAGACTTTCACTTCATTGCACTTTTTTGTGTGTTATTTATTCATTTATTTTTAATTGAAGGATAATTGCCTTACAATGTTGTGGTTTCTACTGTGGAACGACATGAACGTGCTATAAGTATACATGTATCTCTACCCACCCCACCCCATCCCACTCCTCTGGGTAATCACAGAGCACCAGGCTAAGTTCCCTGTGCTATAGAGCAGCTTCCCACTAGTATCTATTTTCCACATGGTGGTGTGTGTATGTTAATGCTGCTCTCTCTATTTGTCCCATTTTCTCTTTCCCCTGCTGTGTCCACAAGTCCCTTCTGTACATCTGCATCAAGTCTCTTTGAATAAACTATTTTCCTTAGTATTTTATCTTCTGTGTCACCCCCACCTTGATTTTATCTATCATAGAATGTTGATAACTCTCTTCTTTCCACTTGTATTACAGAATTAAATTTTGCAGTAGTTTAGTTTATCTCATGTGTTGGGGGAAAATGAAGATAGTCCCAATCACTCTTCTAGATACAAAGATGCCAAAAGTCAGTCACTACAGTCCTAGGAGGCTACATGGCACAAAAAAGTGATGCAGCACATTTTAATGATGACATATAACAATGTGTATAAACATAACATCTATATTAAAAAATATACATGCAAATCCTTTATCAATCTATTCATCTTTCATCTATCACTTATGAAGATATGATTATACACCAGGGTTACCATACAAGCTTTCCACAAAGAGTAAAAAAAATATAAATATAACTCTATTAACTACTAACAGTAAGTGCAGGCACATTCCTTCTTTATGCCCAGAAAAGCAATTTCTAAACAGTAAATAGAATTGTTTTACTACCTACAAGTTTTGGTTTAACTTGTTAAAATCATTTTGGGGGCAGGGTTGAGGGAAGGGAAGAAATTAGATAAAAGTTAATGTGGCTTAATCATTTAAACTGTAAGATTACAAGTGAGTTTTTAATGTATTTTTCTATATTTTCCATTTTTTCTATATTGAACATACTCAGAACACCAGAAGCAAACCAAAATGAATATAAAATCTACTTTCCTAAAAAGCTATCAGTGGTTATGTATTAATTAGTCTGCATGGAACAAAAGCAAAAACCACTTTAAAACATGAGTGACTATTTTAGAAAAGATAAATCATTCTTAAATGATTACTACACATGATAGAACACTTTTGAACCTTTGTGCTTATCTCAGTCTTGAGTTGTCTAATAGAAAGACAACCAATGGTTTAGTACATCAATTGAATGTCTTCATATTTTAGTTGAAGTTATTCTCTTTTTTACATATATATATATTTGAGATATAAACTGATATATGAAATGTTAATGATTTGTGAATTTTTATTTCTAAAATAATACTTTGTTGTTATTGTTGCATGTCTTCTTCCTAGGGCGATTATGGTGGCCCACTTGTTTGTGAACAACATAAAATGAGAATGGTTCTTGGTGTCATTGTTCCTGGTCGTGGCTGTGCCATTCCGAACCGTCCTGGCATTTTTGTTCGAGTGGCATATTACGCAAAATGGATACACAAAATTATATTAACATATAAGGTACCACAGTCATAGCTGGTGTAACTGTCTGAAGCTTCCAATAACACAAGTCTCTTTTACATGAAGATTTTGGAGTACATGGAATTAAAATGTAACTTAAAAATCCTGAGACAACTACTTGAGTGTCATGTTTGTTAAGATACTCATTAATATTTATGGATGTTTGCTGTTGTTTTGTCTGTCAGTGTTACTTTGTAAATGTTGAAGTGAATTAAGGTACATGCAAGTGTAGTAACATATCTCCTGAAGATACTTGAATGAACTAAAAAATGCAAAGGTATAATTGCTGGATGCTAAAGATATAATGGAAAAGATCAATTAATCTCTCTCAGCTGCTTTCCAAGGTTAGTTTCATAATAATAAATAAATCATAAGTTAAACATTATTTCAACCTCACAAAAACAATTTATATCTTGTGTCTTTAAATTGTAACTCTATATTAAATTATATTACCTTTAATATGCTATACATTATATTTCATTCATTTCTCATCATGTATCCTGTAATACTGGTACATATATTTTTTACAAAAACATATACCTATATGCAAATACATGGGTACACATGTGCATACACTACAGTTCAAATTGTGGTGTATCTAATGTAATCCCTAAATATTCTGAAATTGTATCTTTATACTTTTTCCTTAAGAAAAATATTAAAAAAATTCTAAAGACTAGTAGGAATATTAAGGAAAAGTGCAAGATAGAAGTGACTAGATCATCCTCCATATAATCTGCAGATGACCTCTACTCCTTGGCAATTGAGGTGTGGGCAGACACACAAAGTTAAATAACACCTAACCTAGGTGCTTGCATATGTTTATTATCCAAGTTATTTTAGATAGTTTCTAATTCTTTTTTTTTTTTAGATAGTATCTAATTCTTAAAGGGAATAGGCTATTTGTTTATTAGTATTTTTTCTTTCAAATTTAGGGACACTTATTTATGCAAGGTATTTTTATATCTTTTTCCCTAAAGTAGTTAAAAAAGTGAGAGATAACTAATTGAAATTTAAAAGTGTTTTGGTCTTTAAGATGTATTTAAGGATGTTAAGTCTAAGACTTGCTGCTGTGATTGGCTTCTTTCTCATCTTCTTTAACTTAAATATTTAAGAGGAAAATTCCCATGTCTCTAAAATTTGTAAATAGCCTTTCACCAAATTATGCATTAAAATATATATTGAAGAAAGAAATAAAAATAACTTTGTCTACCTGGAGGTCTTTTAGTCTAATAAAACTTTACTCAAGTAAAGGAAAAACATGTAAAAGGAAAGGAACTAGTTTGTCTAAACTGTGTATTCAATTATTTTTTAAAGTACAGTTAAATCTGCTGAATGAGGTATTTTATCAAAATACCTTTATTTTATCTTACTTAATTTTACATAGATCTTTCCTAATACATGGGAAATTTCAGATTTTGTATTCTGTATGATAATAACCAGACCATATTTATTACTGTATTTGTCATGATTAGCTAAAGATCATGTATTTGTCAAGAAATGAGATAACAAAGAGTAATTTTATATGTTCTGAAGTTTCACAAAATATTCCTGTTTAAAAATTCTTTAAAAATAATTATTTGAATATTTTGAATCTAGTATTTCCATTTCTCTAAGTTGTTTCTTTTGTATGACCTCAATTAAGGCCAGGGATCCAAATGATGCTCTAAAAATTCCAGAAGACATTGTTCAATCTAGAGTAAAACGGTTTTAATTTTAATCAAGAACTTAGTCCAGATTATGGGCAGCAAATCCAAAATTCTTTTTGAAATTGTGCCATTTTCTTTATTTTTTGTAATAATATATGTGCTGGTATCAAGAAACAGTGAAAATGAAGAGAAATCCAACAAGTTTCTAGTACATATCAGTGTATCTGATTGTACTTTTCTCTCCTATACATAATATACCATTATAATCAAACAGAAATTTCCAAGGTAAATTGTCTAGATATTAAAAGTATTTTTCAGTTTCTTCTTGCTAAATGACAAAATTTTATTGTCACATATTAATGATATTTGTAAAACACTTACTAAATTGCAATTCTTTTAAATACTCACATTTAAAAATATTTCTTTTATGTCTTTTCCTCTAAATTTCCACTGAGGGATAGAGATGACATAGATACAAAATGAAGCTAACTTTATAGACATTTTGAACTCAGTGTTTTCCATTTTATTAAATGATAAAACAAGACCACCAATAAACCATCAGACATGTGTAAAAAGTAGTCCTTTCTTTGGGAGTTTCCTTTTTATAGGAGATTGACAAAATAGATATAAAAGCAACATGAACAAGACCCATGTTATTTTAGGTGGTGGAATGGGAAATAACCATGTCATTTTTCTCTGGTGAAAGATACTATTTCCTGGGCATTCTTTTTTCTTAATAAAAATTAAAAATCCAATTTATGTAAAAATCCATTTCATTTGAGTCATGGAAAAAAGAATCTTTAAATTAGAAGTTTTCAATGATATTTTTATTTTGGCTGTTCGAATAATGGTTATATGCTGTTATAATTGTGGACATTTTCTTATGTCTACCAGGAATAGTAATGTAAAATTAAAATATTTGTCATAATGCCTCTGCCGTGCAGAAGGAATGATAATCCTTTTGTGTACTTCTTTAATTTTATTGTAAAATGTGTAATGACTTTTACCTATCTGCTGTGGGCAGGTCCTCAGCAAAATGGTTTATATTGAGTGAATCTCTAGTATTAACAGGCTCTTGCTTGCTATCTAAGTGTTTCAAACTATGGGAAATGTGAGACACTGGAAGGCAAGAAAAATAACAATAATGACATGTGATAACAAAATTGTATTTCACTTATTCCTGTGAATATTTCTTGTTGGTACCAATGGTACTGTAGAAAGTGAATGTTATAGCCACAACATTCTCTTGAAAAAAACACTGTCAAGAAATAAGAAATTGCTGTCAGGAATTTTCTTGTTATTTCTAAACATTTAAAAAGAAATACTGGCTTTGCAATATAGGGATCATGTGGTGAAAATTTTAATAAACTCATATTAAAAATATTTTAAATTGACATAAGTCCAAAAAAGAACCACTTTCAATCAATAATATCCCATATTTATAGACAAACTCATTTGAGAAATAAAGTTAATTTGAATGAGATATAATCTTTATGTGAATAAGTTACATTTCATAATAAAATCCAAAAGAATTTATCTTTCAATATTCAACTGAATTTTGAACTGAGAATTTGCTAATATAAAAAGTTAAAATTCTCTGGACCCTATAAATATTGACAGTGTAATTTTCAGTAGGTTCACTTCCATTTGCACAGAAAGTTTCTGTCTTTAGGAAACTGAAAATGGAATACTGTGGATGTTATTACTGTTTGTCTTGTATGTAAATAGGAAATAGATAAGCTGCCTATTGAGTGGTATAGCTGGACGCTTACCCAAAGGGGAACACTGTGGTTATGACGTGTATATAAATTTTCTGTAGTTAATAAAGTTGTTATTTTTATAACCATGCTTATTATTATTAATAAAATATTTTATCAAAATGCTCTCCTCATTTTAGTTATATAAGTGGACATATTTGAATCTGCTCTGGGGTTAATGCGAAAAACAAACAACAATGATGTCATTGACAGAAATTACATATGCTTTATTGCAAGAAAGATCATGTAACTTGTGTATAGAACTAAGACAAAAGCTATAATTCTATTACAACTTCTATCTATGATAATATCAGTGATCTTCAGTAAACTGTTAATCTCTATGGATTTCAATTTCTTCCACTGCAAAATATAATTATTCATTCTTCATATTTGCTAGAGTGATGCTATGATACAAGTTGTCATGAATGATCATCTGAAGTCCTTTACCATGTTACTATATATTACAAAGGGGATTATAAGTCAATCACTTTAGAATTTATCTTCAATGTATACATTAAATTCAGAATAAATATGAATCAAATTCACTCATTTCATTCAAATTGGAGGCAAAATTGGAAGAGCTAATTATCAACTCATCTAACCAAGAAGAATTCTACAACACCATTGACTATTTCAAGTTATATTATACTGTCTCTCCTTCAAAAGGGTTGCTCTACCAGTTTTTCTGGCATAAATACTCATCTCAAGTGATGATTAATATATCTAATTCTAGAGCCCATTATAAAATATTTAATCTTCTTAATGGTTATGATCCAAGTAGAATATATGTATTCCCTCTTTTTTGTGTCAATAAGAACATTTCAAATGTACATACTATTGATTTTTCTAATTTTTGATTTTTTTCTCTTTTCTAAAACTCCATTTCATCCTAAACCTTTATTGTGCTATTTTAAGTAGAATAGTCCAGGAAAGCTCCTTTAAGAGATGGTTTTTTTAATAGGATACTCAGGGAAGTGAGAGAGCAAGTGAGAAAGTTGTGATAATATCTGGGGTCTGAGAAGGAAAACTGAGACAATATTTTTGCTGGCTTCTTAATATAATGTATTTATTTACTCTTACAAACTATAATGCATTAATTAGTCACCATTTGTCAGTGTCCTAAATAGAATCACTTTGGTTTGCAGTTCCTCAGTGTTTTAATTGCCATTAAAAACAATGGAGTTTTATTGCCATTCTATTCCATTAGAACTTTCCCGGGTGGCTCAGACGGTAAAGCGTCTGCCTACAATGCGGGAGACCCGGGTTAGATCCCTGGGTCGGGAAGATGCTCTGGAGAAGGAGATGGTAACCCACTCCAGTACTCTTGCCTGGAAAATCCATGGATGGAGGGGTGTGGCAGGCTATGGTTCATGGGGTTGCAAAGAGTCGGACATGAATGAGCGACTTCACTTTCTTTCTTTCATTCTATTATTACCCTGCACAGGCACCATCCTTAATTTACACAGCCCTAGACATGCTTTCTATTTCATTTCACCAAGTACACCACTTTCATGTATACTTATATTAATATAAGTCTTATTTTAGCCAGTATAAATTTTTCTTTTGGCTCTTAAATTTGCAAATATCTCAATTGCATGTGTTGTTTGGG